GCCGCCTCGACCATCCCTCGCTGGACGCCTCGCCGTCCTCTCTGCCGACGCTGCCATCGCCGACTCGCCCCTGTCCTCCTCGCCCCGTGCGGAGGCCGCAGTTCCTACACCGCGCCCTCGACCCCGCGTCGGACGCCGCCGTCCTCTCCATCGCCGGTGCCACCCCGCCGGACCTTCCCGAGCCCACTGCCAGTGCCCTACGGCCCCGCAGTGAGCACCTCCCTCGCTCTCCCCATCCATGTCGCCCGTCCCGGCCACAGCGCGCCTGCCTCACCTTCTACTTGCCGCTGCAGTGCCCGGGCGTGCACTTGCCACGGCCACGCACGGCCACGCCCCCCTCACGCAAGGGCCTCGTCCCGGTTCTCGACTGCCTGCTCGACCGACCGTGCTCCGGCGCCCGCTGTCGCCGCACCCATGGCCCCTCGCGCGCCTCGCACCCGCGCCGCCTTCCCTGGCCTCGCCGAGGCCACCTCCACCTCCTTCGGACCGCGCTCGCCCTGCTCGCCATACCCTTGCCCCGCGAGCGCCCGTTGACGCTGGCGCATGCCGTCGCTCGCCTCACCTTCCCCTGCACGCGCCCGCCTCGTCGCATAGCGGCACCGCGGCCTGGCCGAGTGCCAGCGCCCCCTTCTCCCCTTGTCCCGCTCTGCCGCGGCCTCTCCCGCTGCCGCAGGCCGCCCGGTTACCGCTGCTGTGCCGCTCCCCACGCCAGGCCCGCGCCTTCCCTGGCCATGGTCACCGGCCTCCCCCTGCTCCGGCGCTGCGCCGGATCTGCCCGCCCATGGGCGTGCGCCCATTCGGGTGGCGCCCGTCGCCTGCACGCCCGACCCGATAGGCCTATGGGCCATTGACATGTGGGGCCCGGCCCCAGAACGTTAAAGAAAAAAAAAAGAAAAAAAGAGAACTAAAATAAATAAATAAATAAAAGAATTAAAATATTAATTAATTAATTAACTTAATTAATCTTGATTAGATTAACCTAATTACTAGTTAACTTAATTAGCCTAACCAGCCAATGACGAACGGGACCCACACGTCAGTTTGACTAGTCAACACCCCTGTTGACTACTGATGTCATGCTGACGTCAGCGTGCACTATTCTGGATAATGTTGAAATTAAATAGTTAAATAAATTCTAAGAATGATTAAAACTTTAGAAAATCATATAAAATAAACCGTAGCTCAGATGAAAATACTTTGAACATGAAAGTTGCTCAGAACGACGAGACAAATCCGGATACGCAGCCCGTTCATCCGCCACGCATCCCTAACATAGCGAACACGCAACTTTTCCCCTCCGGTTCATCAGTTCGAAAACGCGAAACACCGGGGATAATTTCCCGGATGTTTCCCCCCTTCACCGGTACCACCTCTTACCGCGTTAGGGCACCCCTAGCATCACGCTTTGTCATGTCATGCATCGTCATGCATTTGTTTGCATTATATTTATTGTTTCTTCCCCATCTTCTCTCGCTAGACACCGAGACTGACGCCGCTGCTGGTGCCCCGTTCGACTACGCTGTTGACGACCCTCTTTCTTGCCAGAGCAACCAGGCAAGCCCCCCTTTGATCACCAGATATCGCCTACTCTTCTCTATACTGCTTGCATTAGAGTAGTGTAGCATGTTACTGTTTTTCGTTATTCCTATCCTGATGCATAGTCTGTCCTTGCTACTACTGTTGTTACCATTACCTGCTATCCTACTGCTTAGTATAGGATGCTAGTGTTCCATCAGTGGCCCTACACTCTTGTCCGTCTGCCATGCTATACTACTAGGCCGTGATCACTTCGGGAGGTGATCACGGGCATATACTATATGCTTTACACTGTTACATGACCTGTGATACTGTTCGGAGATGGGGGCTGAAGGGGCAGGTGGTTCCACCCAGGTAGTGGTGGGCCTGGGTTCCTGACGGCCCCCGACTGTTACTTTGTGGCGGAGCGACAAGGCAGGTTGAGACCACCTAGGAGAGAGGTGGGCCTGGCCCTGGTCGGCGTTCGCGGATACTTAACACGCTTAACGAGATCTGGGTATTTGATCTGAGTCTGGCCATTTGGTCTATACGCACTAACCATCTACGCGGGAGTAGTTATGGGTATCTCGACGTCGTGGTATCAGCCGAAGCCTTCGTGACGTCAGCGACGGAGCGGCGCGCGCCGGATTGGACTGGAACGCCACTAGGCTAGGTCTGCTTCCGGCCGCGTACGCAACGTGCAGGTGTGCAAAGGGCGATGGGCCCAGACCCCTACGCCATAGGATTTAGACCGGCGTGCTGACCTCTCTGTTGTGCCTAGGTAGGGCTGCGACGTGTTGATCTTCCGAGGCCGGGCATGACCCAGGAAAGTGTGTCCGGCCAAATGGGATCAAGCGTGTTGGGGAATGTGGTGCACCCCTGCAGGGAAGTTTATCTATTCGAATAGCCGTGTCCCTCGGTAAAAGGACGACCCGGAGTTGTACCTTGACCTTATGACAACTAGAACCGGATACTTAATAAAACACACCCTTCCAAGTGCCAGATACAACCGGTGATCGCTCTCTCACAGGGCGACGAGGAGAGGATCATCGGTTAGGATTAGGCTATACGATGCTACTTGGAGGTCTTCAGTCTACTTTCTTCTTTATGCTGCAAGACGGAGGCTTCCAGAAGCGTAGTCTTCGAAAGGATTAGCTATCCCCCTCTCATTCTGGCATTCTGCAGTTCAGTCCACCGATATGGCCTTTACACATATACCCATGCATATGTAGTGTAGCTCCTTGCTTGCGAGTACTTTGGATGAGTACTCACGGTTGCTTTCTCCTTCTTTTCCCTCTATCCCTTCTACTTGGTTGTCGCAACCAGATGTTGGAGCCCAGGAGCCAGACGCCACCGTCGACGACGACTCCTACTACACCGGAGGTGCCTACTACTACGTGCTGCCCGCTGACGATGACCAGGAGTAGTTAGGAGGATCCCAGGCAGGAGGCCTGCGCCTCTTTCGATCTGTATCTCAGTTTGTGCTAGCCTTCTTAAGGCAAACTTGTTTAACTTATGTCTGTACTCAGATATTGTTGCTTCCGCTGACTCGTCTATGATCGAGCTCTTGTATTCGAGCCTTCGAGGCCCCTGGCTTGTAATATGATGCTTGTATGACTTATTTTATTTGTAGAGTTGTGTTGTGATATCTTCCCATGAGTCCCTGATCTTGATCGTACACGTTTGCGTGTATGATTAGTATACGATTGAATCGGGGGCGTCACACAAGAGCAAATACTCCTGGAAGCGGAGTGAAGGCGACGGCGACCGCACCATCTCTGCATCGTCCAATCCCAACTCTGCGACGGCTAACACCTCGAGCTGGGATGCGGCTGCGACTACCAGGCGCCATGAACCTCAAGATGGTGGTGTCTGTGTGGAGAAGTAGCGTCCAATGATGATGTCGGAGGACACGGGAAGTGGACAAACTTCGTCCCCAGTTTGCCGCCCGCATGGCAAGCAGAACATCAATCAGGCGCCTCCTACCAAAAACTCCATCCCCTGCCCCATTTGCAAATCCATTGAACATCCTCCTGCTAGATGCCCTCAAGTTTTGCAAATCCATTGACATTATGGAATGCTTCAGCTTTCAGAGATCGCTATGTTCTGACAACTTCATACGTCTCAAAGCAGAGGTTTGGCAATTCCTAGATGAAGTAGCAGATGATGAACAGTTCCAAGATCAAGTAGCCCAAGATAGTGAACAACCCACAGATTCTGAAGAGGAAGACGTAGACATCTAACGTTACTTAGCTGACGCTCAACAGTACCCTGTAGTCTAGTGCCGCTGGCACCCACATATATGTAAGCCTAAAGTGAGCAGAGCACATCCTGAGATGACTCAGTTTTGAGTGGAGCAATTCATCATTTGTACATTCAAACAGTTGTGATTCACAAAGAGGAGAAAGCTCACAATTGGACAACTTCAAAGATGTAGGCGACTAATCCGACTTTCTACGAAAAGAGATCTCGAATTAAGGAGGCGCTCAAGGTTTTGAAACCATCGACTGCAACGAGGCCACCGTGCATATGCCGCTGCATTCAACCTATATGGAATGGAAGGGGATCATCCAAACATTGTACCATTTCTTTTGGAATTGATGCATTTCATATTCATGTGTTTCAACAAAACGCGACGTGCTCTATATTTTTTTTCATTACCTGACTGTAGGACATCAATATAAGAATTTACACTGACAGCAGAATTCCACACTTGAGCTATAATGCTCTAAAAGCATTCAAAAGGAGGGTTTAGAAATTGCAAAAAACTTTAAAAATGTTCCAAGTACACACATAGCATGCATGTACTCTTTGTAATTACATTGGGAAAAACTCTTCTGCTTCGATACAACCCCGTAAACACATCAACGAAAGAAATCTCTCCATACTGCTTCACAATAAAGGGTAGGATCGTCTTTTTCAAAAGTAGGTCGCCCGATGGAATGTCGACGTACGCAATCCCCCTCCGCGCTGGGCCAGCCCATTTATGTTTTTCTGTTAACCCACAAAAAAGTGTGCAGGATTTGATTCGGGACCCACTGAATGAGGAGGTCAAGGGTTCAATTGGTTTCTTCTTTTCTCCTAGTTTCATTTGGCCAACGAGGTCGCGGTTTACTTTTTTTTCATTTTTTGGTATTGTTTGGCCCGTTTTACTTCTTTTCCCCTTTTTTCTCTTTCTATTTCTTTTTCTTTTTCATTTTATTTTTCTTTTAGTAACATTCATAAACTTTTTTATAAAATTGATCAACTTTATTCAAAACCGTGAATAAAAATCAAATACATGATTTTTTTAAAATCATAGAACTCCTTTCGATTTTCATGAACTTTTATTTGAAAAATCTTGAATGTATTTCAAATTCGTAAACTTTGATTTTCAAATTCTTTTTCATTTCTATTTTCTTTTTGAAAAAGTGCTCGTGCTTTCAAAATTTGTTCAAAACTCTAAAAAATATTTTTTTAAAAAATATATAAATATTCGTACTTCAAAATATTGTATATAACTTTTATAAAATGTTCATGCATTTAAAATTATTTAGCATGTCAAGAAATGAATATTTTTAAAAGGAGAGAATTAAAGTTTGAACCCAACCTTTTTTGAATTTTTCAACATGTCTTGAATTTCACAAACATTTTTCTGAAAAACAATTAAAAAATTGGAATAAAAAACTGAAAATACGAGCAAAAAATTTAAGAAACAATAATGTCCCCAAACATTTTTAGTATTTATGTAGTTTTCTTTTTTGAAACAGGAATGTTTTTTAAATTCTAAACAAATTTTGAGAGTGCAAACATTATTTGAAACTCCCTAAACATTTTTCTGAGTTTTGTGAAGAAATTTTGAAAAAAAATTGAACATTTTTGTATTTTGTGAGCAAATTTTGAAAACAGAAAAAAAATTGAATCGTTGAACTTTTTCCCATTGAGCGAGTGCTTGGGCCGGTGCTGGACATTTTAAAACTGTTGCTACCAAGTATAGTCTAGGCCAGATGTTTTTTTTTTTTTTTGCATGGTAGTCTAGGCCAGATGTAATGAAGGATATACTCCTGGTTGCACGTATCAATACTGTTTCTATGTAGTATTGCCGCCACTGTTCTGTAGTGGTATTCTACAACTCTGTTATCTGCAAATAAGAGTTACCACGAGTACAGTACTAGTAATTAATTGTAATGTGGTGTGGTGGTGATGATCTGATCAACTATAGGGCACGAAGGAGACAAAAGGAGCAGGAATAATCTGCGCCAAAGAAACAACTACCTACACGCGCCAGACCAATAGGCGCCTGATGTCTCGGCCTAGTTTCTTCAAACCTAAGTCATTTTTTCTACTTCTCTTCTATTTTTTCGTTAATTCGTTTTCATATTTTTTGAACTTATTATTCTTTCTTAATCATATTGAAATATTTTAAATATTGTTTGGAATATTCAAAAATATTCTTGTTTCTAAATATTGTTTACAATTTAAAAAAATTATTGTTTTCGAGTTTTTGTTCACAAATTTAAGGAATATCTGCGTATCAAAAAAAGGGTTTGTAATTTGTGTTCAGTTTTTGGTCAAGATTTTCATAATTTCGAAATTATTTTCAGAATTTTGTATATTTCATGTTTTTCAGTTTTTGGTCAACATTTCAAATTCTCATATTTATAAAATCAATTTCCAAAATATTAGAATATGGTCAGAATTTGCTAGTTTTATTCAGGTTCCATTTTTTGTTCATACTTATTATTCAATGTTAAAAATATTGTAAAATGTTCATGATTTAAAAAAGCTCATAAATTAAAAAAAATCCGTATTGTCAAATTTTGTTCAAGGTCCAATAGGTGTTCCCGTTTTCAAAAAAATTACAAAGATCCAAAAAGGTTCAATTTTCCATATTTTGTTCCAAAAATTTCAAAAATGTCTCTGTTCTGAAAAATTGTTCACAAATTTATAGAAAAGTTCACAAATTTGAAGCAAGTTCCTAAAAATTGGAAAGAATATGTGGATTTGAAAAATATAGGGTTTTAAACAAAGCTTGCGAAATTAAGAAAATGTTCACATATTTGAGAAATTTTCAATAATTTGAAACAATGTTCATGAATCTGAAATTTTCAAGTTTAAGATAAGTCGATGATTTTTTTTAAGTTAAAGAGAAAATAATAATAAAAAGACAGAAAAAAATTCTACTATGGAAGGCTCGTCGCTTTGTCGTACAAAAACAAGAAGAAGAAGTAGTTATAAAGCACAATAGTTGAGGTTTCCCGGCTGGTTACTCTGTTTCGAATTAGACAGTGAGGTCTGGGGTTTCAAATCCCACTACCCTCGCCATTTTTTTAAGGTTAAAGAAAGATGAAGAAAAAGTAAGTGGGCCAAGCCCAGTACACAAGGGGGTATGCGTTTCGGTGGTCGACTCAGCATATATACGAAAAGTGGGTACGATATGCGAAAGATCCATGTTGCCCTTTATATGTTTAGTGAGGGACGGTTGTATTGAAGCGGGACACTGAGGAAAAAATATGTCTGCCTTCATTATGCATCGAAAAGTCGTCCACAAAATTTTTCTGATGTAGGGGAATCCCTAATTCTTCGCTCAGTGTTTTGGGGTGTGGAAGAGGAGGGGGAGGAACGCAGCCGCCGCCTCCTCCCCCACCAAAAAAGCTAGGGTTTGTGCCTCTTGCCGCCTCCGCTGCAGGTCTGCCTCGTCTCCGGTGGCCCTAGGGCCATGGAGGCGAGGTGGATCATGGCACTGGCCGGCGAGAGGGCTCCGTTGTTAGTCGTTTCTTTCATATTTGTTAGGGTTTGTGTCCTGCTCAGGAAGACGAGACGGCGGCTGCGTTGAGGATCCTTGAGGCAAAGAGAAGTGGGAAAAACATGCTGTCGCTCAGGCAGGTCAGTGGTGGTTGGCTAGCTCAAGAATCTGACGATCTAACCCCAGAAGACATCACCTTCACGACGGGTTCTGAGAGAGCTCCGACGGACAGTGAGCTCTCGGATGCCAAGTTCGCCTGGCTCTGTGTGAAGCACGTCAAGAGCAACGCCATTGTGATTGCCAAGGTTAGTGCATTTCCCAGTGTGCCAAAGAAAAGATAGGTACAGTAAATTGCAGTTTGCAACATAACCATTGCAAGCAAAAACACCCGCCGTTTTCAGTACTTGTATTCAATATAACATCATTTATTTTGACCTTTCGCTGAACTTGCACCAATATTCGACTTTGGTTTTATGTCCATGCCTGCCTATGAACCATCTGTTGGTGTGGCGCCTCATGGGAACCTGTCTGAAACTAGTGCTAAGTGCACCCAGTGCTGAGATATTTGGCATAATCTGCAAAGAAAGAAACTCTGAACTTGCACTGATTTTCGACTTTGGTTTTATCTGCATGCCCATCTATGAACCTTCTGTTGGTGTGGCGTGTGCTGAGGAACCTGACTAAAACTAGTGCAAAGTGCAACCAAATGTCAAGATACTTAGCATAATTTGCAAAGAAAGAAACTCTGGTCTTGTATCCTTTTTCTCTCTTCAACCATTGTCAAATTAGGTAGTGCAAACTCACAGTCCTATCAGCTATTCCAAGCTTTGATTTCTACTATTCCTAAACCTACCTGACTGACCTGCCAAGTTTAGTTCAGTGAATGGTTTTGCTGAGTGAATTTATTTGACTGATCCTCCTGTGAGCGCAGGACAACTGCATGCTGGGCATGGGTAGCGGGCAGCCAAACAGGGTGGACAGCCTGAGGATCGCCTTCAGGAAAGCAGGGGAAGCCGCCAAGGGAGCCGCTCTGGCCAGCGACGCCTTCTTCCCATTCGGTGAGAAAAAACAACAACCCCATTTGATTTGACCAAGTGAGGTCTTACAGGTCGGAAAACTGACTCGCGTAAATGAAACTGCAGCTTGGAAGGATGCCGTGGAGGAAGCATGTGAGAACGGCATCAGCACGATTGCGCAGCCTGGCGGCAGCATGAGGGACAAGGACGCCGTCGACTGCTGCAACAAGTATGGGGTCTCCCTCCTGTTCACCGGGGTCCGCCACTTCAGGCACTGAGCCTAACCTGAGTCTGTATCATATCACCGGTCTACTGTCAGTCAGTCCGCCGCGGGAACTTGTGGATGTTTGTCAGGCGCAGGTGATTCTGAGTCCAACTAGGATTAAGTGTATGACGGTGGCGAAAGCATTTTGCCATGTACGCAAAGTGAGGACGCCTAGGTGTTCGTCACATTGCTGAGCCAGCAGCGGCTGGGTAATAACAAGGTCGGAAAACCCGGGGCCATGTACTAGTTAAACCAAGCAAAAACCGTGTTTGTATTCAGACGTCGACATGAATCCAACTTGTGAGGCCATTCTGACCTTTTCAGATGCCAGCACGTGATCTTGGCTTGAAGTTTTGTGCTTGCCAGCAACCTTAAGATGCTGGTTTGTAGAATTATGCCAATTCTGTGGATGGGTAAAGGGTATCAGGTGCTGCCTGAGTGTAGCTTCCAGAGAAAGAGACTATGAATGATTGTTTTCTTTTTTCCTTCTGGAATTCAGATGGATATAACGAAATGTAGAAGCATTCTACTGAGAGAAGCACGACGGGAATCGTGCTGAAGCAGAATGAAATCTCAATCAACTTCAGATGCATTTGCAACTGAACAGTGTCCTGCTTGTTGCTTTGTTACAACTTGGGCAATGTACAGATCCCTGGTGTAGAATTTGAGCAACTTGCATGCTGACAGACTCCAAGAGAGTTGTATCGCGCGCTGTCTGTCTAAACCATTTACATTCTTCCATGAAGCAATTGCAGCAAACCATTTGCAATAACAGTTTCACCCGGAAAGAACCATTTGTGCCTCATCTATGCCAGCACAACCTAGCCGATCTTTCGCTATGTATGCATAGCTAACAGTCTTGACATCCTCAAGGGCACTCCTATAGCATCGTGTCGCGCCGAGCTTGGGCATCGATGTGCACGGCCAGGTGTGATGGTCTAAGAATGAGCCCAATGCCTAATGCATACCCCTACTCACTAGAATGAGATCAATGCCAAGTTTAACTCATGCTGACAACAACAAACTTCACACCATGAATGAAACAGCAGTTGGACAAAACAGAAATGCCATACCCCTACTCACTGGAGCGGCCCTGCTGACAGAACAGAATTGGTACCACAAACATTTTATCGAAATCAATCTATTACTTCTTCCACCAGCATCCAGCCACATATGACTTGGTATGGCACAAACAAACTCATCATGTAATATCACCTGCAGAAAGCATGCCTTGTAGAAGTAGGTCTTTCAGCTGCTGCCCCAACACAAATTCTAGCTAGGCACCAGTAGTGTTCTGGTACAAGCGGCACGGCGCGGCGCCACCATTAAATCACATAGATCATTTGTCCCGTTGAGTAGTACTTGAGGTCGAAAGGGTCAGCAAAATCAAAATCAGAAGCTAGCTTGTGGCTGTGAACTGTAGATTCTCCGTCGGCGAGCGGGCTGTTCAAGAGCTCTAGTTTGCAAGCTTTGCTTTTCCATTTAGCGCTGGCCAGAGGCTTCAGCTTGGCGCTCACATAATCATCCCCCGAGGAGAAACATCATTGGTCACCACAACCACCATCTTCTCCAGCACCCGAGCCCTCTCCGCGACGAACTTGAGGAAAGTGACCTCGCTTCTCGTCCCTCGGAACTCGTAAAAGAACAGCCTCTTCAATTCTTCATGCCAGAACCTGAGATTGACCTTGCCGGTGGACTCTTCAGATATGGGCCGGGACTGCAGGTGAAATCGATCAGCATACATACATAGTTGAGGTATCTTATCAACGAGGACGGCAATTAACATGCAGTATTCTAAAAAAAGCAATTATCATGCAGCAGTCAAACAAAGGTACGGCCCTTTTTTGGTGAATGGTCTGATGATTTCTTCTCATATTTTTTATTCGATATCACATTGTCACGGTTGTGTGTTTGTAGGAGATACATTGCCCCCAAGCTTCTACTGTTCCGCTCTTGCTGAAGTCTACACTTGGTTATGGTGAAAATCCTCATCAAAAGGCGGCATTTTACGGCGGCGGGAGTATTTCTCTAGTCAATGCCCGTGGTATTGCCACATCAGTTCAGCATCATGGAAAGGTTAGGAGGTCCTGTATTTTTTTTTTCAGTTCTTGCTCCAACAAAGTGGCATAGAAATTAATCAAACATACACAGGTGGTTTTGAGTCCAACTAGGAATAATTGTATGACCAGCATTCCCGCCTATGTGCTCGTCATGTTGTAACACATTGCCGGCAGGGAGTGGGTAACTAAGGACAGAAAACCAGGGCCATGTACTAGTTAAACTGGGCAAAAATATGTCTGTGTTGAGACCTCAACATGAATCGAACTTCTGAGGCCATTCTGACCATACGATCTTTTGCTTGAAGATTTGTGATTAACACCAACATTCCACTGGTTTGTAGTGATCGTGTGGAGCACAGGGATCAACTCTTGAGCTGTAGATCTGATCTCCTATTTATATGTAGTAGATTTTGTGGATGGGCAAAGGGAATCAGATGCTGCCTGACGTGTTGCTTCGGGAGAAAGAAGAAGACTCTGATTGTTTTCTTTCAGAAATCAGATGGATACACTAAAATTTAGAAGCATTCTACAGAGAGAAGCGCGAAGGGATCACGCTGAACAATGTCAATTTACTGGAGATACATTTGCAGCTGAACAATGTCTAGATGCCCTGCTCGTTGCTTGTTACAACTGGAGCAATGTCCACATCCCTGGAGTAGAATTTGAGCAAACTTGCATGCTGATAGCCTCACAAAGACCATTCAAATGCCAGCACGTGATCTTGTCTTGAAGGTTTGTAATGAAGCACAATGAAATCTCAATCTACTTCAGATAAATGTGCAACTGAACAATGTCCAGATGTCCTGCTTGTTGCCTGTCTCTGGTTTGGAATTTGAGCAACTAACATGCTGGTACTGTGTTTCTCAAAAAACACCTTGCAATGAGTTTCGCCGCACACTGCTGCCTAAATAGTTTAAGCAATGATTTTTCCATGAAGGAATTACAGCAAACTATTTGTAATACTTGAAGCTAGGCAAAGAAATAAATCTGGAGGCCTCCTCTTTGCTAGCACAACTGAACTGGTATTTCACTCTGCATAGCTAACAGTCTGACAACCAAATGATGCCTGAATGCGTGCTGCGGGTGTGTCGGTCTAAGAATGAGACCGGTGCCTACTGCATACCAAGTTAACTCATGCTGACAGCAACAAACTTATAACATAAATGAAGTTACAGTTGGACGAAACAGAAAGACCATAGTAATAGTCACTAGGCTAGATAGCCCTGCTGACTGAACAGACTTGCAGAAATTGGTGCCACTAAACATTTTCATCTAACTCAATCGTGCTGAGACGTGCTTAGCTGAGATATTATTTGGCGGTTTGTCTAAGTTGAGACACGCATATTGTGCCGAGATTTTGTATGGTAGACCTCATCTGAGATAGATTTTGAAAAGGTGAAGATACTACCACTTCACTTACGAAATATGATGAAAAATAATATTGGACATGAAAACCACATTTGAACAAAAGTTTCGATGATTCTAGACAGCATAATCATATACTTCAACAATTCTAGTAAGATCGACTCAACACTACAAACATATGTGTTGGAAACTTTCAACCAAATATTGGTTGTCCATGAAGTAATTAACAAGGCCATCATATCATCCTACAGTAGTGAAATAATACTTTGACTTGGGTACTAGGATGGGTGACCTCCTGGGAAGTCCTCGTGAAAGGGTTTCATATCTAGGCTACCCCAACTTGTTTGGGACAAAAGGCTTAGTAAGTAAGTAAGTACTTGGCACTAACAACCTCATCATGTCATACCACCTGCAGAAAGCATGACACAGCTTGCAAGAGAAGTAGGTTTTTCAGCTGCTGCCACAACACAAAGTCTAGCTGCATAGTATGTACCAAATAGCCTTGCACAGGTGGCACGGCGCGGCGATGCCAATTAACTCGCAAAGATCCTTTGTTCTGTGTGGTAGTACTTGAGGTCAAAAGGGTCTGCAAACTGAAAATCAGAAGCTAGCTTGTGGCTGTAAACTCTAGTTACCCCGTCATCGAGCGAACTCTTGAAGAGTTCTACTCCCTCCGTTCCTAAATATTTGTCTTTATAAAGATTTCAAATGGTCACCACATACGGATGTATATAGACATATTTAAGAGTGTAGATTCACTCATTTTGCTCCGTATGTAGTCACCACTTGAAACCTCTAAAAAGACAAATATTTAGGAACGGAGGGAGTAGTTTGCAACCTTTGTTGTTACATTTTGCGCTGATCAGAGGCTTGAGCTTGGCGCTCACATTATCATCCCCCGAGGAGAAACATTCCCTGGTCACCACAACCACCATCTGCTCCAGCACCCGAGCTCTCTCCGCGACAAATTTGAGGAAAGTAACCTCGCTTCTCGTCCCTCTGAACTCGTAAAAGAACACCTTCTTCATGCTCTCCATGACGCATTTGATGGGACCGCCTTCCTGCCAGAACCTGAGATTGACCTTGCCAGTGGACTCTTCACATATGCGGCGGGACTGCAGATGAAATCGATCAGCATACATACATAAATGAGGTATCTTATCTACGAGGACAGCAATTATCATGCAGTATTCCAAAAAAAGCAATTATGAAGCAGCAGCACGACAGCAGTTATATAACTGATCTGGTTCACAGTTCAGAGTTCTGACCATGCATAAACATAGCCACTGTCCGCTAGTATTGCAAAATCGCCGATGCAGAAAATGTATCTAGTTAAGTTGATCAAATTTACCTGGACATGGAGCGTCTCCACGTTAGGGAAGCATCTGAGAAAGCCAGGAACTTTCTTGACAACATTTCGGACACCGAACTGCACCTCTATCGCCAAAATCTGGACACTAGGGACAATGATCTCCTTGCTCCCAGCCTGCAATGCAACCAAGGACAGAGAAACTAATTCAGATCATACATTGGCATTATATATTAACTGACACAGCCTAGCTACACATGCAAATTACCACCCCAACAGTGTTGCTAATCCCCAAATCTTGCACTCCTGGCTCAAGATATCCCAGCACACGCAGGTTAGGTGCATGGCCAATCTTGATCCTGGAAGTGCTGTTCTTGATCCTAGGCTGAGTGGTGTCCATCCTGTGGGAATGGGCGAGCTCGCCAAACTGAAAGAGCCTCTCCAGGCGAGGAGCATCAACCACATCGATGTCCTCCGAGAAGGAAAAGCCAAGCTGAACGCACCGCAGGCTGTGGCTGACAAGGCGGAGGCGCACTCCGCCGGCCTGGTTTCCCATGATGAAGAGGAACTCCAGCACGGGACTTTTTTCAAGCAAGAAGGCGAGATCGCGCTCTTCCATGGTATTCAAGCTGAGGATGAGCTCCCGGAGGTTGGGGAATCTGGCGCCGCGTGGCACGGCGGCGGTGTCTGGGAGCCTAAAGACGCCAAGGCAGAGGCGGGTGAGGGAGGCGCAGCTGAAGAGCGTGGCCGGGAGGCGCAGGTCAATCGGCCAAGGGCGGTTGACAAATACGAGTTCTTGGACCCCCTTGGCGACGAGGGTGTCGAGACTGTTGACGTATAACGTGCTGCCTAGTCTCTTCCATTAGATCGGTCTTTTGGTTGCATTGGCTAGAGCATGCACTTCTACATGGTATCAGAGCCAAAAGGTCTTGTGTTCAAGACCCGGCTGGCGCAATTAAATTGCAGCCCACTTTCGGTTCACGTTTAGGTCTGAGGAAGCCACACGTGAGGGGAAGTGTTGACGTATAATGTGCTGCCTAGTCTCTTCCATTAGATCGGTCTTTTGGTTGCATTGGCTAGAGCATGCACTTCTACAGAGCCAGCGCGCCATCTCGCCTCGGTGCTCGTCCATGGCGCTGCAGGTGAGGTGGACGCAGCGGAAAGGCCCCGGGTGCGCCGCGAGGGCGCTGGACACCGCGGCGGTGACGTCGCGGGGAGAGACAGCACCGATGATGAACAGCCCGGACGCGCCGCCATCCGGGAGCAGATGGCTGTCCACAAGAGAGAGGGGCTCCCGCGCAAGGCGAGGGCGGCGGTGCGAGCGACGTCCTTGACGGGGAGGCGGGAGACGATGTCGCGGAGGACCCTTTCGGGGAGGCGACTGATGCGGTCGACGCCGTCGGGGACGCCAGATAGCGAGAGGGTGGCGGCGGGGGAGACGGGCGGGGTCGGGATGTAGGCGTACATGCAGTAGAGCATCAGGTTATAGCCGTATTCCACCATATTGCGATCCATGCCGTTGCGCTCCATTTTGGCGCACACTTGGCTCCTGGAGACGCCGAGGATCACTTGCGGGTCGTCCATGGCCGCCGGGTGGGGGAGGCGACGACGAGGGTTTCGGTTCAGGGAGGGGAAGTAGTTGAGGAGCGGCGGCGGCCAGTGTGACTAAGAATGAAGTGGTTGGCATGTCGCTAGCTATATTGGGCCAAATGTCGGAATCAGGCCCATGAAGCAGCTTCGGCCCAACAAAGAAATTTTTAATCTTCCCAAAGGAAAAAAAGAATTTCAAATGCTCAATAGTACTAACTTTGCAAACCACGGTCCCCTCAAAAAATAAAAACTTTGCAAACCACCAATGAAAATATTCTGGAACAAGAGAAGATTTTTTGGCTTCAGCGCCGACACGCGACATGCCAATTTACTCGGGCAGAGGGGTAGTAAGATCTTTTTTCCATCACTCTGCGACGAAGCGCAAGAAGCTACTTGATGACACGGAGTTTGGAAGGAAAGCATGCATGATGATTAACTTTTTTGGTGATTAATTATTTCTTGGCATTGTCTTAGTCCTAGGTATTGGAACCAGACCCTGACGGTAATTAACAAGGTGACGCTTTGTTTTTTTTTCGAGAGTACGCCAAAAGCGTACCATATTTTTATAGAAGGCAGAGAGCATAATTACAAGAAGCCAATCACCAATGCGAACATTTGTACCTCATAGGACCTACTACATTCTCTTAGGACCTACTGTATTATCTTAGGTAAAATAGCATAAAACAAGATAGCCCCTGACTCTTCATTATGGAGAATGGAGATTATCCTGTCTCCAATTCTTGCCTTTCGCACAATGTTGCTTCCAAGAACCTCCTTACGACTGTCCATACATTTCTTCCATTATTTGATTATCATGTGTTCACCGTTTTTAAAAATCCGGTATGCACAGGTGAGATTCGTAGGACGACCTGACTGTATGTTCAAAACATCAAGGCGACCGTTCTGATATATCAAATGAGGCACACAATCTATCGGGATTTTCTGTTGAAAAACATAGTAATAACTTCGTAGTTAGCAATGTAGTTCAGTTTTAGAAGTATGGAAAAGATGCATGGATGTCGTAATACTAAAAAATCTTACCAGGATATCTCCATGGAAGTTATCGTGGTTCAACACGTGCACTAGTGGCACGTATTCACCATAATTTGGAGGAGTTCGATAAAAGGCATTGTAATTCTCAATTTTAGTACAATATGTGACCAGATGATTTTTCTCCTCATAAGTTAACTCAGAGCCATCGGTGTAGTTGGTTCTGTCTACCATCTTCCACACACTCTTTGAAGAATGAAAATAAGCTATCAATGAAAATAAGCTGTCAACTATTTTGAAATAAACAATATAAATTACTTAATAACTATGTTTGAGGAACTCACATAGCGGTAGAATTAGAAGCGTATCAACAAGAACCCAAATGTCCAAATTGTCTTGGTCGAAGTCAGGATTACCAAGATCCATGGTGACAAACATACCCTCTTGAAAATCATACATCTTGCAAAGTGCTTCCCAACCCAGGCAACCAAAATTGGATACGCTCTCAAAATTGTATAGATTTACCTCAAAGTCCATACCATGATGGGTTGTTAGGTTAATTTTCTTTATTTCATTCCTCTCATGATCTTCAAAACCCATCCTCTCTAAGACATAGCGTCTTGCATGGCATGGGATAAGCTAGTCGAATTGTAAAAGACTAAAATTACACGTTGAACTAGTAGAAGTCGAGCTTAATTACGAAAAAAACACTTAGCGTCGTAGCGTACTGTTTCACAATCGAAGGCCTCCTCGAGCTTAATGCCGAAGCGCCGACCTTCGTCCAGGTGAGGTCTATCGCAGAAACCCCGGTTATCGCCGCACCAGGAGCACTCCCCGGTACCTTCTTCGTCCGACGACATTTCCTATGTTCATAATTCAAAGATTAAACTTGTACAATCATATATATGTACTACAAAAACTAAATTAGATCATTATTATTCATCACGGGTTGACTATGGGTCTGTCGAGTCTTTTCTTGAAAACTCTCAGCTCATGTGGTGTATATATTTGATCGTCGGTGATGGTAGCTCCTCCTTTCATTCCTGAGTGCATTACACCAAATTGTCTAGCACATGGGAACGAAGGAGAAGCTACCCCCACGACAACAATCGGGATTCTTCATCCTCTCATATATGGTGGATACTCTCCCTCACTGATTCCTCTCTAACATTTGTGACTGTCAGTGATGGTCGTTACTCCTCCTTCCCCTAGTGCATAACAAAGGTCTAGCACCCGGAGAAGAAGGAGAAATGACCCCCACGACAACAGTCGGGATTCTTCGGCCTCGACGGTCTTAAAGTCAACCTGAAATATCGTTTAGTTATCTTTCTAGAAAATCCAGGCCACTCGATATTTCCTACATATTCTAGCACAAGTCATGCCAAAATTCACGGAAAATTCCAGCATGACCTTTGCTCAAAGAGGACATATCGAGCGCCTGAAATTTCCCGGAACGGAAATTAATCAACATTCCGGCAAAATATAGGCCACTCGGAGGTGTAACCTGCAAACATGACCGGCCACTTGGGCAACCACATATCCTATTTGAGCAACACAAGATATACATGTTTTATCTACATCATATCTTATAGGACTCATATTGGCATGGAGATTTGGCTGGTCTCACCTCGAGGTCAGAGGGGGTCGGTGATGGGGACGATGGCGGGGATGATGGAGGGGCTCCTTGATTTCTGCAAAAACAAAAACCCTATAAGTTATCACTAATATATCCCGAATAGTATCATACATATAACATCACTAATACAACTAAAACCCTAGCGAACGACAGGTATCAACGACGAGGATGCGGGATAGGCATCGTCGACGTCGATTGACGTTGATGCGGGAATAATTGCTTAAACTAAAAAATAACAACAAATGTGACATGTTCAACTAGTTCTATTAATTCAACTAGTTCTTACTAAAAATAAACTTACTATAAATAGAAATAAACTAGTTCTTTCTAAAAATAAACTAGTTCAACTAGTTATATTAATTTTCTTACTAAAAATACATTAGTTCTATTAATTCAACTAGTTCTTACTAAAACCAAACTAGTTCAACTAGTTTATTAATTTACTTACTAATTATTTTAAACACTTACTAAAAACAGTAAAAAAACTACATTATACAATTGTAAAAAATAGAAAAAAGAGATGGAGGGAGGAGGAAGAAGGAGAGAGGAGAAGGGGGAGGAGGCCGGTG